TCCTCCTCCTCCTCCGCCTCCCCTCCTCCTCCTACTCCTCCTCGCCACTCCTCCTCCCTCTCCTCCCTTCCCTCCTCCTCCTCCTCCTCCTCCTCCTCCTCCTCCTCCTCCTCCTCCCCCCCTTAGGCGGCCCGTTCCAGAAGCATGCCGGAGGGCCCCTCAATCGTCTTTCTGATTTCTGGACGGTCTCAGGCTGGCCCCTCGCCCCCGAGGGCCTCCAAAAAGTCGCCTTTGGGGGCCAGCCTGGCCCATCTTGGGGCCGTCCTGGGGCCGTCTCGGGGGCATTTCGCGCCCAGCTATTGGGGCCCCCTTGGGGCCATCTTGAGACCGCCGACTCCCAACGGAAGCACACTTGTTGGGAAGCCACCCAACATTGAAAACACATAACGTTTTTCCCAACCATCCCGTTGTTATGGGTCCTTGTTTTGAGGAGACGGTCCCCGCGTTCACTCCTCCCGCTGCCCCCTCGCTCCTCGCATCATCATCATCATCATCATCATCATCATCATCATCATCATCATCATCATCATCATCATCATCATCATCATCATCATCATCATCATCATCATCATCATCATCAGCATCAGCATCAGCATCAGCATCAGCATCAGCATCAGCATCAGCATCAGCATCAGCATCAGCATCAGCATCAGCATCAGCATCAGCATCAGCATCAGCATCAGCATCAGCATCATTCTCATCATCTTCATCTTCATCATCATCATCATCATCATCATCATCATCATCATCATCATCATCGTCATCACCCGTTTCAGCACACCGCTCACATGTTTCGTGGCCCCACGGGGAGCCCCACCGAAGGCCCAAATGCCAGCGTTCGCTTGCGGCCACCGCACCCATTTTTGCACACCCCTCACACGCTTCGGGGCCCCATATGGAGCCCCACCGAAGGCCCAAGTGCCAGCGTTCACATGCGGCCACTGCACCCTTTTGGCACACTCCTGACACATTTCGTGTCCCTACAGGGAGCCCCACCGAAGACCCGAATGCCAGCGTTCGCATGCGCCCACCGCGCCGCGCCCATGTTGGCACACCGCTCGTACGCTTCGTGGCCCCATAGGGAGCTCCACCGTATGCGGTGCATACAGCGGCTGTGCCCACAACTGCATATGGTTGGGTTCTTCGCCAGGCTAATTTTCTGTGTTGGGTTCTCGTTTTGACTGGAGCACTGCGTTCGCGCTTCCATTTTGGCACACCCTTCACACGTTTCGTGGCCCCACGGGAAGCCCCACCGAAGGCCCAAATGCCAGCGTTCGCATGCGGCCACCGTGCCCATTTGGCACACCCCTCACACGTTTCGTGGCTTAGGGAGCCCCACCGAAGGCCCAAATGCCAGCGTTCGCATGCGGCCACCGCACCCATTTTGGCACACCCCTCACACGTTTCAGGGAGTCCCACCGAAGGCCCAAATGTCAGCGTTCGCATGCGGCCACCGCGCCAATTTTGGCACACCCCTCACACGTTTCGTGGCCCCAAAGGGAGCCCCTCCGAGGGCCCAAATGTCAGCGTTCGCATGCGTCCACCGCACCCATTTTGGCACACCCTTCAAACATTTCGTGGCCTCACAGGGGGCCCCACCGAAGGCCCAACTGCCAGCGTTCGCATGCGGCACCCATTTTGGCACACCCCTCACACGTTTCAGGGAGCCCCACCGAAGGCCCAAATGCCAGCGTTTGCATGCGGCCACCGCGTCAATTTTGGCACACCACTCACACGTTTCGTGGCCCCATAGAGAACCCCCCCGAAGGTCCAAGTGCCAGCGTTCGCATGCGCACACGTTTGGGGGCCCCACAGGGAGCCCCACCGAAGACCCGAATGCCAGCTTTCGCATGCGCCCACCGCCATTTTGGCACACCCCTCACACGTGTCGTGGCTCCGTTGTGAGCCCCACCGAATGCCCAAATGCAAGCGTTCGCATGCGGCCACCGCACCCATTTTGGCACACCGCTCACACGTTTTGTGGCCCCATAGGGAGCTCCACCGAAGGCCCAAGTGACAGCGTTCGCATGCGCCCACCGCGCCCGTTTTGGCACACCGCTCACACGCTTCGCCGCCTCATAGGGAGCTCCACCGATTGCGGTGCATACAACGGCTGTGCCCACAACTGCATATGGTTGGGTTCTTCGCCGGGCTAATTTTTTGTGTTGGGTGGTCCCTTCGGGGCCACCTGTGGCTGCCCAAAGGTGGTCCCGAAGGGACCCAGGCAACCTCTGGTGGAGTCCAAGAGGGGCCTCAGATGCGTCCGAGTCGGTAAAGCGCCAACACGGGCCACCCATCTTTGGAAGACGGAACACCGTCAAGACCCCCAAGACGGCCCCAACACAGCCCAGGACGGCTTCAAGACGCCTCAAGAAACCCGCAAGACGGCTCAAGGTGGTCCACAAGTCGGCCGCAGACGCTTCCAAGAGGCGCCCAGGAGGGCTCCAAGATGCCTCCGAGAACGACCGTTTTCTCAGAGACTTCTTCCCGGACTCCCCGGGGGATCTTCCTGGACCCCTCCCGGGACTTTCCCAGACCCCATCTTAGGGCAAGACACCTTGAAACACCATCGAGATATTCATACCAGTGTATAAGACGATGAAGGAGACGGATAGGTTAGAGACTGGGGCCTCCTGTTCCTTTTCAGTCCCAGAGGAGGTGAGTGGGAGAGTTATGCGTAGGGAGGGAAATTCAAACTCTGGGATCTTGTCGAGCCATTTTTTCAGGATTCATGTCGGGTCAGTCACCTCTCTGGCCAAACGGCCACACGTTGAGTCGTGTTGACGAACATGCATCCGTACACGTAGACAGTAGGGCTCAAATTTGAAGCTCGCACCCCGTGGTGCCCACTGTGGCAGCACTCTGGTAAAACAGTGCGACGCCAAGAGGGATGACACGTAAGTTTCAAGAGCGAGAAGAAAGCAATTAGTCGAACGGCCTCCAGGCTACGAAAAGGTCGATGCGTCGAATGGTCACTGCGTAAGCAAAGACAAGCACTAGACAGACAAAGGGGGAAGTGTTACGGCGTGGGGCAGGGGAAGGGGTGACCCCCTCAAAGAGGAAGACGGGCGGGTTTGGAAGAGGAACCGCTCTAAACCGCTCACGCCCTACATGTGCTGGTGGGCTCCATATAGCGTATGCTCGGTGGCGGGCGCTTTCTGGCCGCGCCGCCTGGGCAACGCAGTGCTGTGCTGTGTCTGTGCTACAAGTGTTTCTTGTTTCCCTGCGCTCCTCCCCTCCCCCCTTGCGCTCCCCCTCTCCTCCCCCCCTCTCCGGCTCCCTGGCCTTCTGCCTATGGGCCCCGCCCCGAAGCAGCCGATCCCGCAGCGAGGTGCGAGCTCAGTCCGCGACGTGCTCTCCGCAGCAGTGTCTTACGCACCTCTGGGTGTACGACACTCAGGAGGGAAAGAAACACACACACACACACAATTAGTCCTCGATTCCCCAGAAAATGTCGGAAAATGCGGGAAGTGGGGAGGGAGGACAGAAACCAAGAACATATAAGAAAACAGGGGGAATCCTTTGATGTGTGTGCGTGTGTATTTCTTTGTGTGCCCCAGGGCCCCTTCAGACACCCTGCGTGTGCTCGCGCGGGCTCCGCTCGCTCGAGCTCCCGACGGGCCCCCCGCCGACACCCCGGCCAGAGGCCGGGTGGCCGCGCCCGCGGCGGGGCGGCGGCGTCGGCGCGCGCCGCCCCAAGAGCGGGGCAGCGCGGGCGCCGAGAGGCCCCCCCTGCCCGGCAGGAGAGGCCCGGGGCGGGCGCGCGGGCTCAGCTCGGCCGAGCTCCCGACGTGGGAGCGGAAAGGAGGGGGATGATGACTAGGGGGGGGGGTGGATCTCATGGCGCGGGCCATGATTTTTCCTCTGATCTCATGGCGCCTCTCCTTGTTTTATGACGTCCCGGGCCCCCCCGCTGGGCCGCGCACGTGCCGCCGGTCATGATTTGCACCCCCTCCTCTTGGACACCCCCCTCTTGGCTCCCGAACGTAAGGGAACGAAAAGTGGCATAAACATAACAACTCGGAGGTCCGCGCGGATTTCTCGGATCGGCGCTGGACCCCCCTCCCCAGCGCGCGGAGCGCGCCAGGGGCCGGAGGCGCCGCCGGGGGGCCCCTGCGCCGATCCGAGAAATCCGCGCGGACCTCCGAGTTGTTATCTTTATGCGACTTTTTGTTCCCCTAGAGCTGGGCCGAGCTCCCGACGGGCCTCCTGTCGGGCCCGTGGCGGCGCGATGTGGCGCTGGGGCCGCCGGCGCGGCGCCGCCGCGCTGCTGCGAGCCCGGCACGGCGGAGCGGCGGCCGGAGGTCGGGAGGGGATTAAGGTCCGAGGCGGGGATTTTTTTAGCCAGGCGTCCAACTCTGGGGTGGACAGAGCCCCCAACAGTGACACGTCGATTAGTGAATTGTCCGTTTTCTGTTCTCGAGAGGGCGCCGTGGCCGTTACTTTCCAGGCTTGCGCCCGCCAGGTTTGGGCCTCAGGTCGTTTTCACTAGTCTGTCCATCCCCGACTAACGCATCCCAGCACGGAGGCGGAGGTTTTGGTGGCAGTCTTCGGTCTCCAGGGGCCCGCGCTGGGCCCGGGGACCTTCGAGAGACGAGGCGGGATGAGAAGCCGCTCCCGGGGAAAGACGTCAAGACGTCGTATGTTTTGGCGTTAGTATTCATCGCCCGTATCCACCGCCTGATCAGGGGATTCGAGGAGGACAAATATGACCGCTACCACCGCTACCTTTGCCTCGTTGTCGCCTTTTGTGGGCCTTTGCGGAGGCTATCGTCGCCACTGTTGGATTCGCCTCGAAATCTTGGGCAGAACGCTCACCAGGAGAGATTCTGTGTTTTTTTTCAGATCCAGGGTGGGGATTTACCAATACAGCAAATGACTGCATATGATACGACCACTAGCTGCCGTAATTTCTTCACGCTACGCGACCCACCCTACGGGTGATAAGGAGGTCGGGGGGGAAGGGGGAAGCGGTCGATTTGCGATGGCTCTGGGTTCGTTGGTGGTTTGTTCAATTTTCTACTGTCGCGCACATCTGCCCATCTATACACATATAAATGGGGAGTGGGCCCCGGAGTGCCGTGATTTTGCCGGGTTGCCGCTTTCGGCTCGCCGGGGGGCGCTGAAATGCGTGAATGGAGGGACAGTGGTGCGACGAGGTGGCCCGATACAGGTCCAAGGGAGTTTCAAGGCGGACCAAGAACGCTTCAAGCGAGGCCAAGAGCTTCACGAGGGCGTCCAGGAACCCCCCAGGAGCCCCAAATAATTGCTTTTCCAATTGGTTTTTAGCGTTTTTTTCTCCCTTGCCTCTTCGGCTTTCCGATGCTTCAAGATGGCCCAAGAGGTTTTTCCCGACATCCAAAGTGGGGTTCTTGTTTTCTCTGGACGACCCGCGCAGGAACCCACGCCACTCGCACCACCCACGCCGACTCACCCACTCACTCACTCACTCACTGACTCACTCACGCACTCAGACTCACGCACTCAGCGTCATTCGACCACTCATCAACATTACCATCATCAACATCATTCACTCACTCATCACGTCGTCATCGCTCACTCCCTAGCTTGACAATGGCGGCGGCAGCTTCGTCTGTGAGAGAATTGTCTGGAAGTCTCCAGCTGGAACTCCCTCCCTAAGGCACCACGCTTCATGTTCCATTCCGCGGCGGGTCATGCGCAAATCTGTAACTGCCGTCGCTTTTGGGCTCCTGAGGCCAAAATATGGAGGAACTATCAGGCGGGGGCCCCGTCTGTGAGTGAATTGTGAGGAAGTCTCAGGCGGGAGCTCCCTTCCTAAGTGAACCGCTCTTCATGTTCGAATCCGAGGCGGGTCATTCGCCAACCTGTAGCTGTCGTCACTTTTAGGCTCCTCAGCGCTGAGTTTTGAGGAACTCCGGGCGGGAGCCTCGTCTGTGAGTACATTGTGAGGAAGTCTCGGGCGGGAGCTCCCTCCCTGAGAGGTCCGCACTCCATGTTCGAATCCAAGGCGGGTCATTCGCAAACCTCTAACTGTCGTCACTTTTGGGCTCCTCAGGTTTGAATTTGGAGGACGTATCCGGTGGGGGCCTCGTGAGTGAATCGCGATCAAGTCTCAGGCGGGGGCTCCTACCATAAGAGATCCGAACTTCATGTGCGAATCCGAGGCAGGTCATCCGCAACGTGTAACTGGCGGGTTTCTCGAGTGTCCATGGCGTTGCGAAGGTCGCCCAGGCGCTTGCGCACATCCGGACTCGGTGCACATAAACTGCCTGACCACCTTGGCATTCCTGGTGGGGTCCCCGTGTGTGCTTTCTTGTGGCCGATCTCCTAACTTTCTCCTCATTATTCTTCTGCGCGTCCTCCCGCTCTTTCGTTTCTCCCTCTCATCCCCCCCTCTTCCTCCCAGCAGCCGCGTGCTCCCGACAACCATGACTCGTTGAAAACAATGGTTGTCGCATCCTAACTAACTGGGCCTCGTCCAGAGCCGTTTGGCTGGGTTTTTGCAAGCCGGCTTGTGATTTGCGCTTCGGTGGCCTGGGGTGAGCGCCACTTCGCAAACATGCGCGGGGGGGGAACAAGTTGGGGAACGTGGCCGCGTCGTTCTGCGCCGGAGCTACGCTCGGATACGCAGAGCTGCGCAGCGCTATCGGCAGGCTGGGGATCGAGAAGTGATCTTCCAGCGACTCGAGGCCTACGCGGGCGGACGTGAAGGTATCCTCATGCCGATGGCTTGGTTCCGACCCTGGCATACACCCTAGGCGATGCTTAAGAAAACGTGAGTTTTCGGCCAGAGTCTCGATTATTCTTACTGTTTCAATGTAAATCCTAAAATTTTAATAGATTTTTTGTTTTTTATTCAAATCCTGAGACTACGAATTTCTTAACCCATGATTTCTTAAGCATTTCGCAGGGTGTAGCTCCCCGCAACAAGCAGACAAGTCTACAATCTCTTTTGGTTCAGTGCTTCGTCTGCGTTGCCATGGAGATCTCAATCGGCCCTTCTTTTGTCGTGGTGATGTGAGGCGACGTTCGTAGCCCCGCTTTTTTCTCCTCCCTCCTCCCTCCTTGCCGTTTTGCCGACGGCCGCATCGTTAACAATCTCCGACATCGTGCCCTGCGCGCCAACGGAGGGGGCCTGGTGGCCCCCTCCGCATGATGGCGCCCAGCGGAGAGGGCCTCATCCTTTCTCTCCCCCCGTCGTCCCCCCTCCTTTTTTCTCCCCTCCTCCCCCTTCCTCTCCATCCCCCCTCCTGGCGTCTTGGGGTCCTCTTGGACGCGTCTTGCGCCGTCTTTGGGCGGTCTTGGGAGCTTCTTGAGCCGTCTTCGAGCGTCGGAATGCCGACAATGCGAGAAGTCCAACATTCTCCAAACACCGTTACAACATGTACCATTTGGTCTCTTGGGGCTCTCTCGGGAGGCCTCTTGGAGCGCTCCGGGGACGCGAACCTGAGGTAATTTACTAGAGCTCGTTTTCTCGGGGACGCAATACTTGCGTACTTTGCCAGGGTTGTATAGCCTCGGGGCCGCGAACATGGTGTAAATTACCAAGGATTAGGGCCTCGGGGGCGCGAATCCTTTGTAATTTTTACGTGTCCCACGCCCCCCGGGAGTTCAGAGCACGCGACCCGATGGCGGTAAAATTGCTGACGTGGGGCTCCCCACCCTCGCGCGGATGTCAGCAGCTACAGGAGGAGGCAGAAGGCAGAACTGCAGCACTGGAGACTTGAAGCTGCAACTCATGTATTCCCGAATCGCGCTCTCGCGCGGGATTCCCTCACAGTATGTTCAGCAATCGCGCTCTCGCGATGGGCTTCCTCGCACCGTATTCTGACGCCGCGCCCTCGGCATTCAGGAATCACGCTCTCGCTGTAGATTTCCTCACGATTGATTTGGGAATCGAGCTGTTGCTCGAGACTACCTCGCGATGTAGGACGCACGCTTCAGCAACCCGCCTGCTGGCGCAGGAAGCAGCTGCCTAGCCCTCTAGTCTGGTGGCCCCACAAGGGGGGCCCGCAGATACATACACACATATTAGTGTGGACCCGTGGGCGCAATCCACGGCGCAGCGTGAGTCCGAGTTTGCCGACGCGCGGTCCTGTCGCTGGCGCGCAGATGCCAGCAAGCTGCGGTGAGCGATGGGCCACCAAGGTGAAACCTACAGTCGGGGCGCTGAAGAAGGAACTCTTTTCGTTGGGTAGGGGCTCCGCGTTCCTTAGTACTTTCACCGTTTGCCCCGCGTTTTCCTTAGGTTTTCGAAGGGAAATCGAAGTTCAAGTTCTTGAGAAAAGGGGCCTCGTTCCTTATTTAGGGTTCCTTAGGTCAGCGCCCCGACTGTATGCTTTTCGCCTCCTCAGGCCTTCCTGCTGGTCCGGGGCGTTTTGGGCCCTCGTGGGGTCGTCGTCTTGGGGCCCCACGAGGGCAGTTCCGGGGCCTCTTTGGAGGCTTGTTGTTGGGTCGTCTCGGGAACCTCTTTTGGAGGTTTATTGGGCCGTCTTGAGGGCCTCTTGGGCTCCCCTGGGGCCCCTCCTACAGTCGGGGCGCTATCGAAGGAACCCTTTTCGTTGGGAAGGGGCTCGGTGTTCCTTGATTGTTTCACAGCTTGCCTAAGGTTTCCCTTAGGTTTTCGATGGGAAGCCGAAGTTTCACTTATAGATAAAAGAGGCCTCGTTCCTTATTCAGGGTTCCTTGGGTCAACGCCCCGACTGTAGGCTGTCTTGGGTGTCTTACGTGGCCGCGACACTCCTGCCCCTCGAGCCCCCTATGATGTGTTTCACGAGCTGCATGACACTATGCTTAGTGATTGTCTGCGTTGTGCAGGGGATGCAGACATTCTTGACTATTGTGATACTGTGGCTCAAGTCTCTGAGAGTTCCCTAGCAGAAAGGGGGCATCGCTCACCGTCACCTCCGGTTCCTCTCTCGACTCCAACCGATCCGCGAGTCGGCTCACATTGGGGCTCTTTTGAGCGCGCTTTGGGCCGTCTCGGGGCGATCCTGGAGGCGTCTTGGGCCGTCTTGGGGGTCCAAACGGTTGAGAGCGCGAGAATTTCAGAATCCATAGGAAACCCTTAAGATCTCTGCGATTTCGGCCGCTTGGGGCTCTCTAGGGTGCTCCTTCGGAGCCGTCTCAGGGCGTCTTGGCGGCCTATGGTGCCATCTTGGGAGCATCTTGGGCCGTCTGAGGGCCTTCTTGTGTCATTTCGGAGCTGTCTTTGTTCGTCTCGGGGCCTCCTTGGGCCGTCTCGGAGCTCTTCTCGGGAGCTCCGGAGCCGTTTCGGGGCCCTCCGGGGGTCCTCCGGCGCCGTTTCGGGGCTCTCTGGTTGCTCCAGGCCCCCGGGCCCCACCAAGCCAGCAAAGCATTTCACGGATTTGTTTGAATTATTTTCTTGACACCGTCTTCTCGGGGCCCTCTTGGGAAAACTCTTGGAGGCCTCTTCGAACGTCTTGGGCGCTTTTTTGCCCGACTGGAAATCATCTTTGGGCGTCTGGGACCGATCGTTCGGCGATTCGGGGCCCTCTTGGAATGTCTTGGGGGCCTCTTGGGGCACTCTCGGCCCTTTTTGGGGCCCTCTTGGTGCCGAAGAGTCATGCGGGGAGACGCGGGGAGTCCCAGGGGCCACGCGGCAAGCCCCAGGAGTTTCCTTCAATTGTGGGTGGGGGTTCTTTGAAGAATCTTGAGGATCGAGGACTGAGGGTAAAGAGATTAGGCCAAGGACCTGAGGACAGCCCAACTCGTGTCTCAAAGGCACGGTGACGGATAACACATACGTATATACATATATATATATATGCATTATATATTTATATATATATATATGCACACACCTATATGCATACGTGAATCAATATAAGACTGCACTTGCGCTTCGCGCCATGCATGTTGGCCCTTCAGGATTGGCGCGCAGGCGGCAGGCGGGTCGCGGGAAAAAGAGAGAGAGAGAGAGGGCGAGAGAGAGAGAACATCTAAAGGGACGAAGGATTTTTCCCGTAAGCACCGTCACCACCGGTGATGAATGTGCATATATATACATACAAATGTATATATATATATATGTATATGTATATGCATATGTATGTGCATGTATTGTGCATGTATATGTGTAGAACTTGCGAACACGTCCCTGTTTCCATTTCCAGATTTTATTGCGTGGCCTCCACCTTGAAGGGCTTTCCGGGAATTCCGCGAGAGTTTTTTGGGGGTTCTGCACGATGAGGATGCAAGGCCATCCGCGTAATGGGGAACCAGACGCAGATCCAATTGATAGCTCCGAATCCGCCAACGCCTGGGGGTCCCAGCTTCTGGAGCAGTCGTGAGCACAAAAAAGGGAAGCACGAACGGAGTGGGAGGCGAGTCCTTGTTCTCGGGCGCTTCCTGAGTTTCTTAGAGACCCTGGACCGTCTAGGGGCTTTTTTGGACCGTTAGGGGCCTTGTGGGCTGTCTCGGGGGGCTCTTGCCGTGGGGCTCTGCAGGAGGGTTTTCGGGACTGTTTTTGGGCTGTCTTGGGGGCCTCTCTGGGCCGTCTTGGGCTGTCTCGGGGCTCTCATGGGCCGTCTTGGGGCTATCTTGGGCCGTCGTGTGGCTCTCTGGGGTTGTTTTTGGGGCCGTCTTGGGGCTTTGTGGAGGTCTCTGGATCCGTTTTGGAGCGCTTTGGGGGGCTTCTTGAATCGTTCTGGAGCCTTGTAAAGCAAAACGACGAGCCTGGCCAAACAAGTACAGTTGCCCTAAATAATGGATTGATTTTGGCTCGTTTGGCGTTCTCTTGGGGCTTTTTGGGGCGTCTTGGGGAGGTCTCTTGACTTGGTAGCCCTTTTAGGCGTTTTGGGGGTTCCTCAATGGATTATCGTGGAGCCATCTGAGGCCGTCTCTTGGAGCGCTCTGGTCTGTCCTGGAACTGTATTGGACCTCTTTGGTGCCGTCTTGTGGGCCTGTTGGATGCCCGGGGTGGTCGAAATTCGTTCGGGGGGTTGGGTGGGTGGGTCCCCGGCTCTGTAAGCATATATGAATCTATGAATATATATATATATATATATATATATATATGTGAATATATGTATATATATATATATATATGTATATATATACACACCGAAAATGCGATCAGCCTTGTAGCCGATATTTCTATTTGTTAGCCTCATGATCTGTCTGTCGATATCACTGTCAATGAATCAATATACCATCGGGGCAACCGTCGGGGCAATCGTCGGGACAACAGCCATCGGGACAACCATCGTGACAACCATCAAGACAACGATCGGGACAACCATCGGGACATCCGTCGGGACAACCACTGGGACAGCCATCGGGACAGCCATCTGGAAAATCATCGTGATAACCATCGAGACAACCATCGGGACAACCATTGGGATAACCATCGGGATAAGCATTGGGACAAGTGCGGGACAACCACGGGACAACCATGGACAATCCTGGGCTCAAAACCGCCAGACGGACTGGAGGAGAGTCTTTAGCTCTGTCTTCGCTTTAGCAACAGCGGGATCACTCCTCTCGCCTGGTCACGCATCTTCGCCTCGCCCGTACGCACGGTACGAACCCGAGACCAATTTCCCGGATTGGGGTCTCCTCTTCATTTTGATCTCACCCCCCCAACCTCAGATTTTTTGGGGTCCCCGTGACCTGCCTCGGAGGGAGTCAAGCATGCATCTACGCGGCCTTGGGCCTGAAAACGGTGTCTGCGCCTTCGTGGCCAAGGGCATTGGGGGCGCGCACACCGACCCCGGATTCGGGATGGGTCCGGCCTGGACCGGCGCAGGTGTACACTTGGCAGCCTCCTACCACGTACGCAAAGCCGGCCGCCAGATGAGCAGCGCGGACATTCGCGCGTAGCCTTCCCGCGTAAGGCCGCGCGTGAGCACGCTCTTCTCCGCGGGCGGTGCCGCGCTGGCGGCCCGCGTGCGCCGCGGCGGAATGTCGCTGTGTCTTCGCTCAGATGAAGACGGCGACGAGGGACGCCCCTGACTTCAATGCGGTAGGCTCTGCAGCTGTCGACCCCAGCTCTCACGCGTACTCCGCGCCGCGGGCTGTTTTCTGCGGGCCCTGGGGCACACAACACGGTCCCAAACAGGCCCAAACTTTCGAACTTCGATCCTCGTTCTGTCCGGCGGGGTCGCAGATCGTCCCCCGCTTAGGTGGCCGTGTGTTGCTGCTGCCCAGCGGCGGCGGAGTGTCGCTGCCGCTGAGCCAGGGCATATCCCAATTGGTGAGGAATGGGGGCGAAGGGGAGAGAAGAGGGGGAAGCGCTGAAGACGGGAGGGGGGGAGAAGGAGTTGAGGTGGCGAAGGGTGGGAGAGGACGAGGCGAGGAGGGGGAAGCGAGGAGGGGAGACGAGGAGAGTGATGCGAGGAGGAGTAGAAGGGGGAGGAGGAGGAGGAGGAGGAGGAGGAGGAGGAGGAGGAGGAGGAGGAGGAGGAGGAGGAGGAGGAGGGGAGGAAAGGCAGCAGGCGGAGGAGGGTAGAGGGAGGTAAGGGAAAGGAACGCCGTAGATGAGGAAGGGGAAACAGAGGAGGTGCGGGAGGCGAGGGAAGCGAGGAGGGGGGGTGGGTAGAGGGAGGGGAGGGGGAGCATAACTACGCAGGTGAGAAGGGAAAGAGGGCGATCAGAAGACGAAGAGAAAGGAGAGGAGGAGGACGAGGAGGGGGCTGCCTCGTTCCCCTAGCTTTCGGAGGAGGGAGGGGGCAGGAGGGAGGGGCACGAGGGCCACGGCCGCCTCAAGAAAGGTCCACGATACCCTCCTCCCCGCTCCTACTCATTGCCCCGCCCCCTTACCCCCGCCCCCTGCCGCTCCCCCGCCCCTTCATCCCTTCCCTCTCCTCCACGTCCTCTTGTTGTTAGACGCTAGCTCTTCCCCACCTTCCCACCTCCCCCTTCTCCCTCGCTCCCTGCCCCTGCACCTCCCTCCCGACGCTTCTCATCCTTTTCCGCCTCCATCCTCCTACCCTCCTTCCGTTCCTTCCCGTCCACTCCCCTGGCCCCTCCCCACGTCCCCGCCTCCCCTCTTTGCCCTCGTCTTCTTTCTTACGCTCCTCCCCCTTCTTCCCCTCCCTCTCCTTTCGCTCCCCCTCTCCTTCCCTCTACTTCCCCTCCTCTCCTTCCTCCTCCGCCGCCGCAGTCGTCGTCGTCGTCGTCGTCGTCGTCGCCGTCGTTTTCGTCGTCGTCGTCGTGGTCGTGGTTGTCGTCGTCGTCCCGAGCGCGCCCCTGAGGTGAGCTCGCGGCGTCTTTCGTCTGGAGGCGCAGATCGGGGGCCGCTGCCGCTGCTGGTAGTGGGCTCGCTCAACGCGGACATCATCATCGGCGTGGACAGGCCCTGGTGAGGGGGGAAGGAGGAGGAGGGATCGTCTTTCGAGGATCCGTGCCGGTGCGTGCACTGAAGGCATCCTCGCGGGTGTGCGAAACTAACCAGGCCGATCTCGGTTGGCGGTCGAGAGCCCGGGCTCTGCGTCTTGGGCTCAGTGTATTGTTTGCATTGGGCGAAAATGTGCCAGCTCTCGGAGGTCAGCCAGGCTCTCGGGTTCGCAGCTTCCGAATTTTCGTGAGCGTTTACGCCGGTTCCAGCCGGCGACAGGCGCCAATTTTGATTATGCTCGGCCCGCTGCAGGTGCTGATTTGGTTTGCGCAGTGCCGCGGGTGTCAAGCAGTGGCGACGCGTCCTGGCTTGCCTGTGGGCTCACCAAAGAACCTGTTACTAACCTGCTGTGGTGCGCACGAAATGTTTTTGGAGCAGTCTTGTGGCTGATAGTGTCTTCGCTGACACTGTCTTGTGGCGGATACTGTGAATTAACCAGTGTGGAGCATACTGTCTTCTTGTAATCAGTATGTTTTCTGTTATAGTTTCATTGGTTTGTTGGTCGAACGGTCTCTGTGTTCTAAGAACATTTCGTGGTAGGCCTATGATAATGCTGTGACGGTCGGACCCTGCTCTCAAGGGTGGCTCGGGGCGCGGCTAGGTCGCGACGCGGGTTGATCGCAGGTGCGTCACGAGTGAATCGCGGCGTGGGTGGGTCGCGGGTGTGCCTCGGGTGGGGCGCGGGTGGATCGAGTGGAGGGTCGGTGTGCGACGTCGACGGCGACCACAGCAAAAACAACGGTAACAGTCTCTTCACGTCAGACTATTCGCTCGTCGTTGCTCGCGCACATTCAGCATGTATGTGCCCAATCGCTCGATGCACAACCTCTTAGTCTTTTATCGTGCCCCCTTTTTGGAAGTAGATGCTCCTTTCCTGCCACGTGTAGTTGGCTCGGTCACTGTAGTAGACAGTCGAGGGATAAACACGGGGAGAGAGCGAGGAGAGGAGTATGAATCGAAACGGGATGTGGGCAAGAGGAAGGGACGAAATGTGAGGACGAACATACATTCAGCGGGGTGGGGGGAGAGAGGAGCAGGCATATTTGCGGGCGGATTCTAACGGGCGGGTCGGGTGGGCGGGTAGCAATGGGCGGGTTGGGCGGGCGGGGTATTTCAATTGGCGGTCGCGCGCGCAAGTAATCTTAGGCCATGTTGGAAATGTATGATCCCGACTACGCTCCCGAGGCCTCCGACAAAAATCACGCGTGCCGCCCCGAGAGCACCTGGAAACGCCCAGGAGCGCCCGAACTTTGGGACCTGGGCTCCCTATGTTATGCAGGGCATTGCCAAGAGCGGAACCGAAGGGGCCTGAGGACATTCCACCCGCGTCCTGCACGGGGCCGAGCGGCCGCTGGGCCTGCTCGTGCGGCTCGCTCGCTCGCCTGCAGCACGACCGCGGACCTCTCTTGAGGTCTCTCGGTGCGTCTTTGCGCTTCGGGGCCGGCGGGGGGCCTCCCGAGGCGTCGGAGGGGCCAGCGGAGAGCAGCGCCCACGGATAGGGGGCCACATGCGAACCCTACCCCTGCCTCACACGATTTCTGAGGGGGATGGTGGGGTTCACTTCGCTCGGGAGGTCCCGAACGAAGTGAACCCCACCCTCCCCCTCAGAAATCGTGGGGGGCAGGGGTAGGGTTCGCATGTGGCCCCCCAACGGAGAGCAGCCCGCGGCGCGAAACGGGGCCCTCGGGCATCGGAGGCGGGCGGGGAGCGGTCCACGTGGCGACGGAGCCGAGAGAGGCCCACGCCATCGTGGCGGGGCTCGCGCTATATCGCTGCCCTCTGCCCGCGGCACGCCTCCCGGCAGGCTCCCGCGCAGCGAGGACCCGGGAAGCGAAGCCGCGGGGGTGACCCCCTTCTTTTTCTCCCTCTTTTCCTCCCTCTTTTCTCCCTTTCCCCCCTCTTTTCCCCCCTCCTTTCCCCCCTCTGTTCCTCCCTTTTTTCCCCCCTCTTTTCCTCCCTCTTTTCCTCCCTTTTCCCCCTCTCGTTTCCTCCCTTTTCCCTCCTCCTCGTCCTCGGCCCCGCCAGAGCTCCTGCGGTTTGAGGTTTCCAGCCCAGGCGTTCTTTCTCTTCTGGGGGCCGAGGGGGGAGGACGAACGACAGGCGGCGATCTCACCCCCCCCCTCCCCTCCTCCCCCTTGGGGGTCGTGGGGGACGCCTTGGGGCGGTCTGGTGTGCCTCCTGGACTGTCTTGGCGAGCACGCTGAAGTCATACTACCAGGACGCTGTGCCAGAAACAGGGTTGACCTCTCTCAGAGCGTGAATGACCTACCCCGCTTTCGCTTCTAGGCAACACCAAGTCATACCACGCGCCTCCTGGTCAAGCGGCCTGACCAGTACAGGCCGTAGTTTGGCATCGCTTGGCATCTCGTGGAAGCGAGGGTGTTCAAGAGCGAGGTAGGCTTGTTGTACCCCTACTCTCCGGGGGCCTCGTGGAGGGGCCTCTCCGGGGCCTCTGCCCCTCTCCCCCAGACAGAGGAGGGCGCACCCCTCCCCGCCCTCACGGGGTCTTTTTGTTGGCCCCCGCGAAGCGAGGAGACCGTGATGTCGCGGGCCCCGGACTCCGGCCGCGTCTTCGCGGGCGGGAAGGGCGCGAACCAGGCGCGCGGGGGGCGCCCGCCGCCCAGCTCGGCGCCGATCCTGGCCAGCCCCGCCCTCTCGGCATCGCTCGGACGTGTGCATTTTTTCTTCCTCGGCGAGGACCATCGAGGACCATCGAGCAAAAAAACACACGCACCGAAAACTGCATTTTCCTTCGGCGAGCACCATCGAGGACCATCGAGCAAAAAACAAGCACGCACGAAACCCGAAAACTGCACGGGAAGTGGGCGTCCGAGCGACGGCACGCCCTGGGCCCCCGGAGCGGCGCGTGCTCCCTCCCAGGCCCAGGGCAGGAGCGCGCAGAGAGCCTCCCCCTGCGAAGGGCTGCGCGCGCCGCGGTCGCGGCCTGGGCCAGAGACTTTTCAGGAGGGAAAGAAACACACAGACACAATGAATCGTCGGTGTCCCAGAAAATATCGGAAAATATGGGCAGTGGGGGGAGGACAAAAACCCAGAAAATATGGGAACAGATGGGGGAAATTGTTATTTGTGTGTATTTATTTGTGTGTCCTGGGGCCCCTCCAACTTTGCCCTCCCGGCGCGAGAAGAGAACAGCGCCTCGCGCTCGCGTGGAGCGGGGGCAGGGTGACTTCGAGCGGTGTGCACGTAATCCTTAGGGGAACAAGAAGGTGACATAAACATAACAACTCGGAGGTCCGCGCGGATTTCTCGGATCCGCGCTGGACCCCCCTGGCGGCGCCTCCGGCGCCGCCCCTGGCGCGCTCCGCGCGCCAGGGAGGGGGGTCCAGCGCGGATCCGAGAAATCCGCGCGGACCTCCGAGTTTTTATGTTTATGTCACTTTTTGTTCCCCTAATCCTGGCCCAGGAGCGGAAGGGCGCATCCACCCTGATCCTGGTGCGCCCATGGATGCGCCTGGCCAGGATCCGCCGCAGCTGGTGTAGTTGGCATCCTCCTCAGGCGGTGGCGGCCGCGCGTCTGAGCGGTGGGACGGGCCGGAAGGCGCCTGCCAGCCCAAACGGGATCCCAGTCGGCTTGGCGGTTGAGGACAAGGGGGGGAGATGGTCAGGAGGAGGAGGAGGAGGAGGAGGAGGAGGAGGAGGAGGCCCTCCCAGTAAATACTCAAGCTGCCCGCTCCGACCAATGAGCAAGGTGTCGGTGTTAAAAGGTCCCAAAGTACGTGACCCTCTCGAGGTGCAGTTTGTCTGCCAGTTCGGCAACGACGCGCACGCGCCGATGTTGAGGAAGACGCTCGTGGATCACGGCGTCGACATCTCTGGCTCCGGCCACTGCAAGGACAAGCCGTCCGGCCAGGGCTACGTGTTCCTGGAGCCCGACGGCACCGCGTCGAGCGTCGTGGTGGGAGGCTCCAACGCCTCGTGGCCGAGCGAGATCCCCGCGGATCTCTCTCGCCTCGTGGGCGGAGCGAGCGCCGTGCTGCTGCAGAGAGAGATCCCAGAGCACGTGAACGAGTACGTGGCGCAGGCTGCGAGCTCGGCCCGGGTGCCCATCCTCCAGGACGCGGGCGGCGAGGACCGGCCTATCTCCGACGCGCTCCTCGGCACTCAGGAGGGGGAACAACACACAGACACAGTGAACCGTCGATTTTCCCAAAGATCTGGGAAACTATGGGAAGTGGGGGGGGAAGACGAAAAGTTTCAAAAAGAGGAAAATATGGGGAAGACTTTTATTTGTGTGTATTTATTTGTGTGTCCCAGGGCCCCTTCAGGCATGGCCGACTTCGTGGCCCCGAATGAGACCGAGCTCGCGCGCCTCACCGGCCTGCCCGTGGCCTCGGAGGCGGAGGCCGTGGCCGCCGCCGAGCGGCTGCAGGCGCGGGGGGCGCGGGCCGTGCTGGTGACGCTGGGCGAGGGCGGCGCGCTGCTCCTCACCGGCCAGGGGCTCCTCCTGAGGCATCGGGGGTGGACAGAATCCCCAACAGTCAGGGGCGGAAAAGAGGGGGGTGATGACTAGGGGGGGGTGGATATCATGGCGTGGGCCATGATACTTCCCTAGATCTCATGGCGCCTCTTCTTATTTCATTACGTCCCTGGCCCCCGCTGGGCCGCGCACATGCCGCCGGTCATGATTTGCACCCCCCTCTTGGACACCCCCCTCTTGGCCGCTCCCGAAACAGTTGATGGCTACGACTACTCGATGCAGGTGCTATCGTCGACAAAGGGTGGCGCAGCAGCCGAAAAGCCATTGGCGGGGCAGGAGGTCAGGCTGGGCACCTCGTTGCCAGGAGGATACAGCCCCTCCGCGGGCGGTTCACCGTCCCTGGCCCTGTTTTCCCCCTGCGCGCCTGGCTTACACCTCCCGTGCTTGTCGGCTGCTGGGCCCTTCTTTCGGGGGTGGACAGAACCCCCAACAGTGACACGTCGATGAGTGAGTTGTCCGAGTTCGGTCCTCGAGGGGGCGCCGTGGCCGTTATGTGTCCAGGCTCGCGCCCGCCAGGTCTGGGCCTCTCAGGTCGCTTTCCCCAAACCACGTTTTGCTATAAAGGGGGGTCTGTCCATCCCCGAAGGCAGCCCTGCCTCCGGGTCCCGGGCGGCCGGGTCGTGGACGCCACCGGGGCGGGCGACAGCTTCCGCGCCGCCTTCGCCACCGGGCTCGTCGAGGGGCGGCCACTGGAGGAGTGCCTGCGGCTCGCCGCGGCCGCGGGGGCGCTCGCGGTCTCCAGGCTGGGGGCGATCCCCAGCCTGCCCACCCGCGAGGAGTGCGAGCAGCTGGCGTTCGGCACGCCCTCCTTCGCGGTCGGTGGCTCCAGCGCCAGCAGCTCGGCTCCGGCGCCAGCGCCAGCGGCTCCAGCGCCAGCAGCTCCGGCGCCAGCAGCTCGCGACCGCGAGGAGGGCCGCGGCGACGGGTTCCCGCTGAAGTTCGCCTCCCGCCTGAACTCGATGAAGGACAGGCTCTCAGAGAAGGAAGCAGGTACCGATGCCGCTGCCCTCGGCCTGTCTTCTTTCGCCTCCTCTGAGGCTCCTGGGAGGCCCGTGGCGCCACCGCTGGGCTCGCCTCGAGGTCCTGGCCAGAGCGCACCTCCAGGAGAGGCCCTGGGAGTAGCGGCGTCGGCTCCCTCGTGCTTACAGTGCCGCTTTTGATACATGCTCCGCGTGCGGATCATGTACTAAAAATGCAGGGATTTAGTATTACTAGCCGGCCGCTCTGCGGTTGATCGGGAGTTTCTGTATATAGAAGAAGGTGCGTGCGCTTGTTGGCGAGGGTGATGAGGTTCCTCCTCCTCCTCCTCCTCCTCCTCCTCCTCCTCCTCCTCCTCCTTCTCTTGCCTCCGTCTGTCCTCCTCCACCCCGCAGCTCCATCATCCTCCTCCTCCTCCTCCTCCTCCTCCTCCTCCTCCTCCTCCTCCTCCTCCTCCTCCTCCTCCTCCTCCTCATTCCTCCTCTGGGCACCTCCCCCGGGGCGCGGATCCACCGGATCTGTCCGGATCTGTCCGGAAACGGTGCCGGATGCCGCTCTGGGCTCCTCTGGGCACCTCCCCCGGGGCCGGTTTTGTGAGGATGTCTCAAGCGAGGGCGCCGGTTTGGGATTCGTCACCGGATCCAGCGGATCCAGCGGATCCAGCGGATCTGTCCGGAAACGGTGCCGGAGGCCGCTCTGGGCTCCTCTGGGCACCTCCCCCGGGGCCGGTTTTGTGAGGATGTCTCAAGCGAGGGCGCCGGTTTGGGATTCGTGCGGATCCAGCGGATCCACCGGATCTGTCCGGAAACGGTGCCGGAGGCCGCTCTGGGCTCCTCTGGGCACCTCCCCCGGGGCCGGTTTTGTGAGGATGTCTCAAGCGAGGGCGCCGGTTTGGGATTCGTCACCGGATCCAGCGGATCCAGCGGATCCACCGGATCTGTCCGGAAACGGTGCCGGAGGCCGCTCTGGGCTCCTCTGGGCACCTCCCCCGGGGCCGGTTTTGTGAGGATGTCTCAAGCGAGGGCGCCGGTTTGGGATTCGTCACCGGATCCAGCGGATCCAGCGGATCCACCGGATCTGTCCGGAAACGGTGCCGGAGGCCGCTCTGGGCTCCTCTGGGCACCTCCCCCGGGGCCGGTTTTGTGAGGATGTCTCAAGCGAGGGCGCCGGTTTGGGATTCGTCACCGGATCCAGCGGATCCAGCGGATCCACCGGATCTGTCCGGAAACGGTGCCGGAGGCCGCTCTGGGCTCCTCTGGGCACCTCCCCCGGGGCCGGTTTTGTGAGGATGTCTCAAGCGAGGGCGCCGGTTTGGGATTCGTCACCGGATCCAGCGGATCCAGCGGATCCACCGGATCTGTCCGGAAACGGTGCCGGAGGCCGCTCTGGGCTCCTCTGGGCACCTCCCCCGGGGCCGGTTTTGTGAGGATGTCTCAAGCGAGGGCGCCGGTTTGGGAGGCGGATCCACCGGATCTGTCCGGAAACGGTGCCGGAGGCCGCTCTGGGCTCCTCTGGGCACCTCCCCCGGGGCCGGTTTTGTGAGGATGTCTCAAGCGAGGGCGCCGGTTTGGGATTCGTCACCGGATCCAGCGGATCCAGCGGGTCCACCGGATCTGTCCGGAAACGGTGCCGGAGGCCGCTCTGGACTCGTGCTCTTCGCGCTGGGGGTGAGGATGACGTGAGTTCCACAGAAACTCCCTCAAACAAGCAACGATGAGTTCATGCATACATTGATCCATACATGAATCATGCATTACAAATCCTATGGATTAAACATCCTACGTATTAAGAACTGCCCTGTCTCCCCAGGCTCGACCTGTGGGGCGGCGCGAACGACGTCCTCGGGTGGGTGGCCCGCCAGGGCACCATCCGGGGGCTGGGGCTCGTGGACTTCAACTACCCGCAGCACCTGAGCGGCCTGGCCCCCGAGCAGGCCCGGGGGGCGCTGCGGGCGTCTGGGCTCGAGGCGGGGGCGGTGTGCCTGCGCTACCCGAAGGAGTTCATCCTCGGCGCCCTGACGAACCCTGACGCGGCGCTGCGGCAGAGGTCAGAGGAGGAACAGGCGTCGATGCCGCTGCACGCTGGTCGCTGAAAGTGAGTATTGTTGGATTCCCAGATCCCAATCTACTTCAAGCGCCGTCCTACTTCAAGACTCGGCATGCTCTTGCTGTGTTTTGTTACTCTCTGGGAGGAGCTGGACCCACTCCGCTATATCCGCCTTCCTACTTCATGTTTCTACCTACTTCTTCCGACCGACGTGCACCCTTCCCTCGCTTTCCACCTCTTTGGGCCTCGTCGCCACCTCTGGACTCGCCTCGGACTCCTGGTCAGACCGCACCCCGGCAGAGGTCCGGGGAGTAACGGTATCGGTACCTCCTGCTGCTCCAAGAGGGCCATAGACATCACCTTGGAGGCTGGGGCCTGGGCCCGCGAGCTGGGGGCGCGGGAGCTGATCGTGTGGTCTGCCTTTGATGGCTACGACTACTCGATGCAGGTGCTATTGTCGACAAAGGGTGGCGCAGCAGCCGAAAAGCAAATGGTTACCAGCCTCGAACGTATCCCGATCCCTAAGATTGACACGCCAAAAGGCGATTGACAATCTCAGGGATGCGCCCCCAAAAAATAAGGCAATCCCCAAGATTGGCATCGTGATGAGGAGATGCCCAGCATAGGGACAGGGATATGTTCCAGGCTGGCAAACTGGCGGGGCAGGAGGTCAGGCTGGGCACCTCGTGGCCAGGCAGCCCCTCCGCGGGCGGTTTTCACCGTCCCCGGCCGTGCTCCCCCTCCACGCCTGGCTTACAGTCGGGGCCCTGAAGAAGGAACCCTTTTCGTTGTGGAGGGGCTGCGTGTTCCTTAATTGTTTCGCAGCTTGCCTCAGGCTTTCCTTAGGTTTTCGATCGGAAATTGAAGTTCAACTTATGGAAAATAGGGGCCTCGTTCCTTATTTAGGGTTTTTTCGGTCAACGCCCCGACTGTACTCCTCCCGTGCTGGTCGGCTGCTGGGCCCTTCTTCGGCGACAGGTGGACCACACAGCGCTGTGGTCACGAATCGTGGATGCCTTTCAGAAGGTGTGCAGCGCTTATCCCGATCTGCTGGTGTCACTCGAGTTCAAGCCGACCGACGAAAACATGCGCTTCTTTGCAGTGCCCAGCACCGGGGCTGCCATGTTGCTCGTGAGGGATATTGACTGTCCGAATATGGGCCTGACCCTAGACTTCGGTCATTGTCTGGCGGCGGGGGAAAATCCTGCTCAGAGCGCCGCGATGGTCGGGTCAGCCGGCAAGCTTTTCGGTATACAGTTGAACGACGGCTACCAGCGCATCGGAGCAGAGGACGGGCTGATGTTCGGCTCGGTCCACCCCCTCATGGCGCTCGAGTTTGTGATGTGGCTGCAAAAGACAGACTACAAGGGCCACGTGTATTTCGACACCTTTCCGCGGAACTCAGCATCGTCTAACCGATCCACATCCCCTCTGAGCCATGGCATCCCCGCTCCACCAGCACACGAGCCATGGTATCACCGCTCCACCGGCGCACCCCCCTGAGGGGGGCAGTAGGCCCCACGGAACCCGACGGAACTTGCATACACGATCCCAGGTCGAGGGTTCACAGGCCCCCCCCTTCAAGATGAAGATGGGATGGGCCACAGGCTTCCCCACAACGCCCCCTCAGATTGGATGGTTGCGACGTCGACGACGGCGACGACGACGGCGACGACGACGGCGACGAACCACCCCGCACGCACAGGGGGAAGGGGGGGGGGTGCACCGGCACCCTCCACCACGCCACGCCCACAGGGCCACGACCACAGGGGTGGGGGGCGGAGCGATCCTATTCGCGAGGCCTTCGCGAGGCCTACGGCCTTGCCCATCCAGCGAGGGGGGGGCTCGATCCCATATGCATCGGGGGGGGGCCAACCCTGGATCATATGTCCCCGCCTGGGTGGATACGTCGGCGAGTGGGGCCAAGGCCACGCCAGTGGGGATAGTCGAAGAATGCAAACGACGTAAACCTGAACTTTCGGAGCTCCGCGCGGGTCTCTTGGACCTGCGCTGGGCTCCCTGGCGGCGCCTCCGGCGCCGCCCCTGGCCCGCTCTGCGCGCCAGGGAGGGAGCCTCGGCGCAGATCCAAGAGATCCGCGCAGACATCTGAACGTCTGTGTTTACGCGGTGTTTTCATTCTCGTGGATGGGGATCGGTCAAGCGACGCTCAGGAACGAGGATCCCGTGCGCGAGGCGGAGTACAACATCCGCCGCTTCAAGGCCCTCTGGCGCCGCGCCGAGCGCCTGCAGCAGCACCTGGGCGGCCGCCTCGCTGCGCACGACGCCCTGGGCGTGCTGGAGGCGATGGAGGAGCTCGGCGACGAGTGCTAGGCCTGGCCTTGCAGTGCTCGGGGCGGGGCGGTCGCCTGGTAGGGCGAGGTGCCGGCAAGGGTCGATGCTCGAGCACCGAGATGCTTCGGGATGTCTTTGGCCACTGTTCGGTCTGTGGATGCCGCCTGGTCCCGCCACGCGGTCCAGAGACCGCGTAGCGATCAATTCTCTGTTACCGCAGTCGCGCGGCTGCTCCAGACCAGTTTTCTTTCCTAGGTGCCTTTGGCCCATCCCGCCACCTTGCCTGGGTTAGTGGCCAGAGGCCTCTTGGATGGCCGCTGTGGTGTCTTTGGGCTCGTCCCCGTCCTGACGGCTCTGTGGCCTCAGAGAAATCACTCGGTATAACCTGAAGTCACGCGACAGGCCCCAGGAAATCCGCTCCTTGGGCCTGTGGCCCGTTATCTTAAATCCAGAGAACTCGAGGGACCTGATGCCAGAGGACACTTCACACAGTGCCTACGGCACCGTGGCGGATTTTGTAGTCTCCGAAGGTGAGTGTTGCCGCTCTGAGGACAAAACTGTGTCGGGCCTGTCTCTATTGTCAAACTGGGCGGCGTAGGAAAAGGGGGCCGGCTGCGCGGACACTGGCGCTGCGCACGCTGCCCTTGTAAGGTCGCGAATCTGCGTCCCCCTTTCCATGCGGGGTGCGGCCTGCGAACGCCACCGCTCAAGGTCACCGTGCCCTCATGTGTGAGGCGTTGTCTTTCGTCGCTCATGTGGCCCTGTCTTGTCCTGCGATTTTTCGCCCCATGTGGACGGCTGCGGGGATGACAACCCTGCAGGACAGCTGCTGGCCTCACTCGGTGGCCGCCGCAGAGCTCCGCTCCCCTGCCGTCGGATGGAAAAGCACGCCGTCCTCGGTATGCTCCTGGCCTGGATGCCTCCTGCTGCTCCTGCTGCTCCTTCGCCTGTCGGCTCTCACCTCGGGGCTGGAGGTAACCAAGTCTCCCCTTCTTACCTCCCTCCCTCCCTCCCTCCCTCCTCTTCCTCCTCCACGTCTCCCTCCTCAGCGGCTCGGGCCGTCATAGAACCTTCCGAACCGCCGAGGATCTCGTGGATCCTGCTCCTCCTCCTCCTTCTCCTCCTCCTCCTCCTCCTCCTCCTCCTCCTCCTCCTCCTCCTCCCCTTCCGTCCTAGTTTTTCGTATTTTTCGAAGCTCGGGCTCTGGGAACTCCCGGCCTTATCCCCAGGACGCCGAGGTATTGTCACGATGATGGCTGTTTTTTTCTTTGTTTTTTTGCTCACGACGTCTGGAGGTCTTGGCCATGCCAGCAGCGGAAGAGGCCATGGGGGGGACCGCCACCGATGGCAGCCGACCCCGCACAGACGCCCCCCTTCGGCGCCTCCGAGGCGGCCGGGCGACGGCCCCGGGGGTCGTCGCCTCCTGGGTTTACCAGCCTGGAACATATCCCTCTCCCTGTGCTGGGCGCCTCCTCATCACGATGCCACTTTTAGAGATTCCCTTAGTTTTTGAGGGCGAATCCCTAAGATTGTCCTCGCCTTTTGGCGTGTCAATCTTAGGGATAGGGATGCGTTCGAGCCTGGTAAGAGGCGGCCGGGAGACGGCCCCGGGGGTCGTCGCCTCCTGGGTGGCTGTGCGGTGGGGTCGCCGCTGGTCAGGAGAGCAAGAAGCACACAGACACAATTAATCGTCGACTCCAAAGAAAACATGGGAAAGGATGGGAAGTGGGGGGGAAGACAAAACACCCAGAAAGTACACAATTAATCGTCGACTCCAAAGAAAACATGGGAAAGGATGGGAAGTGGGGGGGAAGACAACAAAACCCCAGAAAGTATGGGAAAGCACGGGGAACCTGCTCCTTTCTGCGGACTTGTTTGCGTGTCCTGGGGCCCCTTCCGCTGGCCTCTCTGCGCAGCAGCGGGCCTCTCGCCGGCACCTGGGGCCGCCGCTTGGCACCCGGCCGCGCGCACCTATAGCCTGGTGCCGCCCCGTCTTCTCGTCGCCGGTCTGCGTGCCGTGCGCGTCGGGCACGAGGATGCCAATCAGGAAGGGAAAAAACACAGACACAATTATTAATGGTCGACCCCCCAGAAAATAGAGGAACATGCGGGCAGTGGGGGGGAAGACCAAAGCCCAGAAAGCATGGGAAAGTATGGGACATCTGTTCCTTCGTGTGAGTTTCTTTGCGTGTCCTGGGGCCCCTTCCGCTGGTCTCTGCGCAGCCAGTGGGCCTCTCGTCGGCACCTGGGACCGCCCCGCGGGGCACCTGGCCGTGCGCACCTATGGCCTGGTGCCGCCCCCCGTCTTCTCGCCGCCGGCCTGCTCGCCGTGCGCGTCGGGCACGGGGATGCCAATGTACCAGCCTCGACGTATCCCTATCCCTAAGATTGCCAGGAGGGGAAAAAACACGCAGACACAATTAATCGGCGATTCCCAGAAAATATGGGAAAATATGGGAAGTGGGGGGGAAGACAAAAACTCAGAAAATATGGGAACATATGGGGGATATTTTTATTTGTGTGTATTTATTTGTGTGTCCCAGTTCCCCTTCAGATTGACACGCCAAAAGGCGATGACAATCTTAGGGATCCGCCCTCAAAAAATGAGGGAATCCCTAAGATTGGCATCGTGATGAGGAGGTGCCCAGCACAGGGAGAGGGTTATGCTCCAGGCTGGTAAGCCAAGGCCCACCGGGTGGAAGACGGCCGCCCCGCTACGGCAGGTTCATGCGGCGTGGGCGCGCCGGCGACGCCGGCGAAGGCGTTCCACCAGGTTGAATTCTGCGACGCGGAGCCCCGAGGGACACGGTGACGCCACTGGGCCCGACGGAATTCAACCTTGAACGATCGGGGCCGCGATCGGTTCAACGCGGTGACAAAAGCTTTTGCGCGCGCCGACGCCGCGCGAACCTACCGTACGCATTTGCAAGCCTCCTCCTGCTTGTCGCGCAGGCGTGGACCCGGGCACACACTGGTTAAGACCGCGTTTCCGCAAGTACATTTCAGCCGCCTGTGCTGCCCATCAGGATATTCTTGGCGTCGCCCCAATACTAATACCATGTATGCGTCGATCCCCCAGTAGCGACGCGCGCGCCGAGAGATCTAATGGCATATGCTCCTTGGCGGGCGCTTTCTGGCCATACCGCTCGGAGAACGATTCATTACAGCATGGTTGTATCATATGCTAGGGTCGGACGCACGCTGAGGAGGACACGCAGTACTAGTACGTCCTGGTGCGTCCCACATCCGTCGCCCGGTAGCTCTGCGGTGTCTGGCAGGGTATTATGCTGGATGTCGTAGTCGAAGAGCTGCTCCACGTCCTCCCCGACGGGGGTAAAACAGGGCTAGGATCGGGATAAATCGCTCCAGAGCGTTCCAGAGCGCTCTCAGAGCGTTCCGGAACGCTCTGGAGCGGCCGCGGCGCCCGATACATCCTCCAAACCCGCCGATTCTCAGAGATTTCGAGTCATCCCGATCCGATGTTGTCCCGATCTTCGCGTCGTTTTAGTATGTGCTGGATGTCGCAGTCGAAGAGCTGCCCCACGTCCTCCCCGACGGGGGGACCTCACCACCCACCAAACCACCCCAACCCAACCTGAAGCCCTCAATTTGCCCTCCATTTCCAGTGGGGGGGGGGTCGGGGAGCGTTGAGAAAACACACGGAGCCCGTACCCCCCCCAACCCGAAATTGGGGTCAGATGCGGGTCTTCGGGTTGGGTTGGGGTGGTCTGGTAGGTAGTCAGGACCCCTGGTGCGTCCGCGCGCTGGCGCTGGCGGCAAAGAATTCTTCGGCCCCTCGGCCGCCAGCTGCTCGAGCGTGTCTCCGCGGGCGCGCGCCGCCTCCGAGAGGCAGAGGAGGAAGAGGTTCAGGAGGGAAACAAAAACACACAGGCACAATTCATCGTCGATCCCCCAGAAGATATGGGAAACTATGGGAAGTGGGGGGGAAGACAAAAGCCTAGAATATATATATATATATATATATATATATATATGGGAAACTATGGGGCATGCTTTTATTTGTGTGTATTTATTTGTGTGCCCCAGGGCCCCTTCAAAGGTACCCATACCGCTACCCCTTCCCCGGGTATCCCTTCCTCTGGGCCTCCTGGGAGGCCTGTCGCCGCCGCTGGCTTCGCTCCTGCAGTCCTCATCTCAGAGCGTGACTTACCTACCCCGCTTTCGCTTCCAGGCAAAACCAAGTCATACCACGCGCCTCCTCGTCAAGCGGCCTGACCAGTACAGGCCGCAGTTTGGCATCGCTTGGTATCTCTTGGAAGCGAGGGTGGTCAAAAGCGAGGTAGGTTTGTTTGCCCCCTATGATCAGAAGGCACCCCAGGAGATGCCTGGGGAGTGGCCGTATCGGTACCGGTTGGTCTCCCCAGTGGGGCCGCGCCGCGCAGAAGGCGAGCTGGTGCCTGTCGCACCGCTCCTCGCTGGCCTGCGCTCCCTCGCGCGGCTCCCGGCACCGATGCGCCTCGCATTGCTTATCGTCGTGCTGCTCGTCCCCGTAGGAGATCGTCCTCGCTCATGCCGCTCGTCCTCGTCTTATGTCGGGCGTGTCCCCCTACAGGGGAGTTTTTGACGAAAAATAGAAAATACCCCAAACATGCACCAAAAAGGTCAAACAATACCCCCAAAATAGTCCCCGGACCATTTTGGGATTATTCCCTACCTAGGCTCTTCCTAGAGGGTTCTTACTCTCTTTCTTAAAGGGCCGGGCAGTGCACACCGCCCCGGGTGGTTCCCCCAGTATCCGCCCCGCGGTTCCCCCAGTTACGTCCCCGTAGCTTAGCGTTGCTTATCTCATCTTAGCTTAGCTTATTTCATCTTAGCTTAGCTTAGCTTCATCTTAACTCAGGTTTATCTTAGCTTAACTTACCTTCATATTAGCTTCGCTGAGCTTTAGCATAGCATAGCACATCATAGCATAGCATAACGTATCATAGCATAGCATAGCATATCATACCATATCATAGCATGGCCCATCATCACATGTCATATCATATCATACCATAGCATATCATAGCATATCATAGCATAGCATAGCGCAGCTTTGCATACCATAACATGTCATAGCATAGCATAGCTTAGCATAACACAGCGCAGCATGACAAAGCATAGCTTAACATATCATATCATAGCATAGCATAGCATATCATAACATAACACATCATATCATATCATAGCATAGCGCAGCATAGCATGGCATAGCATAGCATAGCATAGCATAGCAACTAATGCTGCTTTCCTAGGGGCTCCAACTTCTATGTAGGGTCGCACTGGGATATTTTTTATTATTTTGGGGGTACTTTTTATTTTTCGTCGAAAATCCCCCTGTAGGGGGACAGGCCCGACTCAGTCCTCGTGCCGCTCCCCGTCCTCCGCCGCGTGCCTCACTTCAGTGCCCGAGGCGCACCGCCGGTCGTCCGGCAGGCGCGGAGCGAGCTGCGCGCGCCTCCAGTCGGGAGGGAAAAGAGAGACACACAGACAGACACGATTCCTCGCCGGCTCCCCAGAAAGCATGGGGAAAATCGGGGAAGTGGGTGGGGAAGACAGGAGCCCCGAAACTACGTGGAGATACGAGGAGTAGGAGGAGGAGGAGGAGGAGGAGGAGGAGGAGGAGGAGGAGGAGGAGGAGGAGGAGGAGGAGGAGGAGGAGGAGGAGGAGGGGGAGTCCTGTGATCTGTGTCTGTCTACTTGCGTGTCCCGGGGATGCCCTCCGCCCGGGCCCCGTCGGGGGCCCCGGCGCCGGGCGCGTGGCGGGCCTGGCCGCACGCATGCCGACGCCGGGCCCGTGGCCTGGTCGGCGGCCGCGCTGCCTTGGCGGCGATAGCGGGAGCCGCGCTGCGCGCCGGTCGCCGCTGCGCGTCGCTGCTGCGCCCCTCCGGCGAGTTCAGCCTCGAACATATCCCTACCCCTAAGATGGGCGAGCAAAAAGCGAGGACAATCTTAGGGACAGGCCCTCAGAAACCGAGGGGATCCTTAAGAGCGGCATCGAGGTGCGGTGATGTCAAACATGGGGATAGGGACATGTTTCAAACTGGTAACGAGTGACTGTTTTCTGGGAATCCTCTCCGGCGTGACTCGTGGGCCCCCCCCAGAATGGACTCCCCCACCGAAGCGGCAACGCACGAAGCCGCTCACGGACACGCCTGGCGCTCATATCGGTCCACGCAAGCATGTCGCTGCGCTCGCCGCAGACTGTTGTGATGCTGCTATACTAGGGTCTGTCACGGTGCCGTGCATCGTGAGCTGTTCGCAGGCTTCGCGTGGCATTGCAACGTTTATCATTCTGCGGTGCTACTGCGCCGCAGCCGCCGTGGCGGTCCCCCTTGCCCCTCACCCCATATGGCGACTTGCGTTACCCCCCGAAGCAAAACGGCCTCCGAGTAGGCCGTCTCGGCGCACTCGCAGAGCTCGGCGTGTAAGCGCCAGACCAGCCGCTCCTGGCGGAGCGCAGCCCACCGTTGAGCAGCGCACCGGTTGCCCGCGCGGCGCTGCTGCCAGCCTTCATCGGGCGGCCCCCGTATGCCATGACCTCGCGTGCTGCTAATGAATCTCTCCTACTCCTCCCCCCCTCTCCTCCCTCCTCCCCTCAGCGTTGTCTAACCTGTCCTGATCTCCTCTGGGACATGCCCCCCCAACCCACCCTTCTGCTAATGAATCTCTCCTACTCCTCCCCCACTCTCCCCCCTCCTCCCCTCAGCGTTGTCTAACCTATCCTGATCTCCTCTGGGACATGCCCCCCCAACCCACCCTTCTAGGTTGGGACGGTCTCCGTGTCATCGGAAGGAACAGGACCAGGCATATATCCCCACCCAGGTGGGTAAGTCGTTCAAGCGATCGTGATCGGTAAAACGATGCTCACCCCTCTCCTCCTTCCCTCCCCTCATCCCCTCCCCTCCCCTCCCCTCCCCTCGTCCTACTCCCCCTCCGCTCTTCGGACCAGACCGCGCGCTATCTTCCCTGCCTTCTAGTCCCGGCAGTGTGGTCACTGCTCCTTGAGGCCAGGTTGCCCTGGCACGCAGGTCGTCGCGAGGCCCTCGCTTGCTCTGTGGCCGCGGGAAGAGCTCCTCTCCTCCGCAGTGGCTCGGGTCGCCATGCGGGGCGTCTCTCGCCTCCGCCCGCGCGGGCCGCACGACCCGCGCCGCGGCCCGCGCACCCGCGAGGGCCGCGGGCGCCGCGGCGGGGGGCGATGGCCTCGCAGGTGGGGAGACCCGCGCACGCGGCCGCGGCGGGCTTCCTGCAGAGGTCCCTCCCCCTCCCCCTCCCCCTCCCTCCTCCTCCTCCTCCTCCTCCTCCTCCCTTCTCCTCCCCCTCCCCCTCCTCCTCCTCCTCCTCCTCCTCCTCCTCCTCCTCCTCCTCCTCCTCTTCCTCCTTCTCCTCCTCCTCCTCCTCCCCCTCCTCCTCCCCCTCCCCCTCCCCCTCCTCCTCCTCCTCCTCCTCCCCTCCTCCTCCTCCTCCTCCTCCTCCTCCTCCTCCTCCTCCTCCTCCTCCTCCTCCTCCTCCTCCTCCTCCTCCTCCCCCTCCCCCTCCCCGTGCCGATGGCTTCCCGCAGCCTATGGGGTTCGACTCTTGTGAGGGACGCACGGGGCGCTGGTAAGGGAGTGCACTTCTCGCACTCCCGATGAGCACCCTCGCAAGCACCCCTCAGGTTAGGGAGCTGGGGCGATACCAGCAATCCTTCTTGCATCTTGCCTTCATTGCTGCTACCCCGTCCTTCTCGGCCATTGTGCTACCCTGCTTGTCTTGCTCTTCCCAGCTCATCCCGCTACCCCTACCACCGCCTGGGAAGACCAAGGCGCGGGCATCCCAGCCCCTTTCAGCGGCCCCTCCCGCTATTCCTCCCGTTTGTTTTGCCTGCCCCCGCCCTCCCCAAACCCGAGCTCCTTCCCAACTCCCTGCCCCCTCCTATCTCTCTGCATGCGCCCTCCCCCAGCGCCGGTCGTCTCCATCTCCCATCCCTCTTGCTACTCCTGCCCCTGCTACCCGGCTATCCGCACAATCTTCCATATGTACCACGACAGTTTACCACAACTTATCTGCATTCTCTCGTTAACGCATGCGTGGCAGAGCAATCGCGCCAGAGGGTTTATTAACCCAGCACGCGCGAAAACATGTTTGGTGGCCATCCCCGTCTGGTGAGAGCCCTGCGTGGCACGTGCGCTCCCCAAGAGCGAAGGGGGGCATGATTTGTCCGCCTCCGTGGGCCCCTTTGGAGTCGAAGCTTGTAGTAGGCTCGGGGCGGAGCAACGAACATGTCACGAATTTCGGTCTGCCAGGGGGGGAAACGTAACGAATTTCCCCCCGCTGGGTAGCAGAGAATTACAGTCGTGCTTCCTATTTGATATTCTTAAGCCACCAATCCATACTGAATGTTCTTAATATTGTGGCATCTTCATACGCCTATTTCCCATAGTATAGTTTCTACACCGCCGCACTTATTCGTCTCGCTCCCTTTCTCTCCCTCTCTCTCTCTCTCTCTCCCTCTCTCTCTCTCTCTCTCCCTCTCTGGGCTCCCTGCCCCCTCCTATCTCTCTGCGCGCGCCCTCCCCCAACGCCGGTCGTCTCCATCTCCCATCCCTCTTGCTATTATCCCTCCTGCCCCTGCTACCCGGCCACCCGCACAACCCTCCATATGTACCACGGCAGCTCACCACATTTTATCTGCATTCTCTTGTTAGCGCATGCGAGGCATCATCGGCTTATCCACCATCACACCCCTCGCTCCTACCCGACATTCTCTCGCTCTCCCCCAGTTTCTCGCTGGAGGCCCCAGTGCAGTCACCCAAGTTCCGACTCTACTATCCCCCTCGCTTGTCCAAGCAGTGGCCCTCGACAGCTATTTCTCGAATGGTGGCCGCCTCTTCTGCCCCCTCGGACAGGGGCAGCATGCCAGCCCCTTCCGTTCACGGCGCCACGCCACACAGGGACCAGCCACCCTTAAGGCTGTGTATTCCGCCAGTATCCTCCTCCTCCCTCCTCCTCCTCCTCCTCCTCCTCCCCCTATCTTGTCTTCGTTATAATGGCATTCCTCACCACGCTGCTATGCCACGCGATGTACTTCACGCTTGCACATCGATTAATTTCCTATCCCTTAGACGCGCCTGCGATGCGACATTTAAGGGGTTCTGCTGTGCGCCATTATCCTCTGCCGGCTTACTTCTGCTTCCGTCCCTGCCTCCTTTGTCCTTGATTATGTCTTCCCTGTTACCCGCCCCCTCCTTCTTTTGAGATTCGCTCCGCACCTTCATCTGTTCGCCCGCTTCCATGCACGCGGTCATCTTGAGCCAAGCGTTTATCACTAGCCTTCAAAGGCCAGGAAGCTGGGGCGCCACAGC